TGTTCCTTGCGAAGAGAGTCGTTGTTTTTCATGTCTTGAACGCGAAGCCACGAGGCATTAAAACTACTACGATGGTCTTCCCATGCAACGGTCACATCTTCGCTTCCTTCCCCGTTTTCAGCTTTAACAATTGGTGATTCGGTAGCTATGAAGCGAGCATAGTCGCTCTGGTTGTAAATCAAACTGTCCGTGAAATATTTTGGGTCCCGGACCGAGGCGCGAAGCCATATGTTGGGAAACGTACTCTTTGCACCATCTTGCCAGGTAATTTTCAGTAGATCTCTGCAGTGAGATAAGGCGGCTATTCGAAAAGGTGCGCGGAGAACAGCAGACATTTCAGTAGCTTTGTAAGTTATGTCGAGCAAATGCAAAGTCTGGGGCTCGCGTTCTGCTTTATTTGCATTCTGACAGTCATCACTAAGTCAATCATCAATGTCAGCAATCAAAATCAACGTTGTCCCCTGTGGAAAACCACTCCGCCGTGATTGGGTGAAAATAGCTTGCGTAGCTAGCTGGAGGGATTTATTAATAGCGTGGGAGTGCTGTATTGTTTTGGCGGCGGAGCCGCGAGAAGAGTAGCCTCCCCGCAGACGTCCTTTGGGGTTCGTTTGTCACGCATTCAACGAACCCCAAAGGACGTCTGCGGGGAGGCTACGAGAAGAGTGGGTATTCAAGTCAATTCCCGCAAGCCACAATTCTTGGGTAATTTGAATAGTCCGCAACCTGGCTTACGGGAGTTTCTAATTGGCTAAGAAGCGATAAAAGGCCAGTCAAATGATAATTGATATCTCTACTACCTCCGAAGGGAAAGTTAGTGCGTATAAACTAGACTCCCCCGCAGAAGTTCCTAGGGGTTCGACACGCGTTCATCCACTCCACTCCACAATAATATTTCCGCTTGAAAGAAATCCTCAAAAGACATTTTTTTGAGGGAACTAGATCTTAAAACTTAAGACACGTCTTCTTGCTATCCCTTATTTAAAAGGAAACTAATTTCTTTTTACGACAGAAATTGGCTATATAACAAAAGCGCATCAGACAATAATGCCTTTTGTCACGCAGTGAAACCACCCTAATCCATCCGAGCTCAACATAAAAAGAGCGCTTGATCCCCGGGCTTGATAATTTAAAACTTGAACCTTAGAAACACGGGAGGAGTATGCTGTGGACGATTCTTGTTTTTGACTGAGCAAATGATCTTTAATTGCCGATATTGAGAGGTCATGAGGCCGATGTGTTTCCTGTGCATTCCAGCATCGATCTCCTCTGGGTTTTGTCTCTGACAGAATTTGACCTCTAAAGCATTTTAAGGCCTCTTTTGAAGTATAAAGCTTTTTATTGCCGGTAAATGGTCGTTCAGTAAAGAATTTAGTTTCTCAATGTGACAGGGTGTCACGAACTTTATTTTACAGGGACTTGGACATTAATTAGTTTAATTAGTTTATTTGTTTAGAGTTTGATTTCTATATGTCAGTTTAATGTGAACTATTTTTTAGCAATGGTGCTTGGTTTTTAGGACTTGCTTTATTTCCTTTTACTATTTAGGAATGCGCCTGTCAGTAAAAGCAATTGTTATTTTACGTGCTTAGTTAAACTCCAGAAATAGCTTTATCAGTTTTATATCTAAAATGCACGTTTTACTCATGTATACAAAAGGCGCTTTTCTAGGCTTTCCTTTGGAATTTGTAGGAAAAGTGGCTCATACTGAGATGCCATGTTGGTGTCCCTTTGAGGAGCACAACTATGGCCGCCGGAAACCAACAGAAACATCTGTTTTTGAAATTTCCTACTTATGCGTGAATTCCTTGCCTGAGGAACTCATAGAGATTAAAGTAATATTAATTCTGAGACGAGGAATGTTTAGATAGCAAAATCTCAAAAAATCGGTAACGTTTTTAACCCACTTAAGAGGCTTTCCCGGCCGCCAGGTAAATGCTGCGTCACGCAAAAGCCTGGATTTCCAAGCGGCTCTATCGCAAAACGACGGAACCCCTTCAAACTGAAAATTTGTACCATTAGAGGTGTTTAGCTTCTGTAATACCTTATGAAAGTAGAAATTCAGAAGAATCAAC